TAATACTCATTAATAGGATTAATCAGAAAAGGATATAAAATCTTGCAAATCTTTTAAGTTTTTAATAAATGGAATTAAATGAGTTTCCAAATATCACAGAATGTTAGATTTTCAACACAAAATGCCCTAACTATGCAATTGCTTATTTTGTTACAATATTATTAGTAGCCTAATTTTTTAGAAAAAGCTACCTAAGTGAAAGCAACATTTATTTATTCACATATGAATTAAATCAAGGGTCAGTATATTTTTTCTCTAAAGTTCCAGACAGTAAATATTTCAGGCTTTATGGGCTATGCAGTCTCCCTCACAACCATTGAACTCTGCCAATAACACACCAAAGCAATTTTTATGGAAGTAGATTGCCAGAACTTTCTTCCATGGCACTGCTGGATGGGGTCAAACCACCAAGATTAGGTTAAGAGTGAAGTACAAACCATTTACCCCACCCAGAACCTTAACAACAACCACAGACAACAAGCAGTCAAATGGTTATGGCTTTGTTCTAGTAAAACTATTTACAAAAAATAACTAGTGGGACACCTTTGACACACGGCCTTAGTTTGCCCACTCCTGGATTAAAATGACTAAAGAAGCATTCAATATAATGATTAATCATAAAGAATAATTTTGTTATTGTCTTTGGTAGTTGCCATCAAGTCAGCTCTGACTTTGTCAACTTAATGTATATTAGAACAAAATATTACTCAATTCCTCACTGTTTTCATGATTGTTGTTGTTTTCAAATCCACTGTTGAGGCCCCTGTGTATTTTGAGTGCCTTCCAACCAAGGAGGAGCTCAGCTTCCAGCATGATATTGGACAGTATTCTGTTTCAAACCATAGGGTTTTCATTGACTGATTTTCCAAAATTGATCACCAGGTTTCCTAGTCTGGCTTAGTCTGGGAGCTCCAGTAAAACCTGTCCATATGGTGACCCTGCTGGGTCTTAAAGAGAAATATCCTCTGAAAAATACAAATGTTGTTGTTGTGAATTGCCCTCACTTGATTCCTACTCATGGCAATCCATGTGTGGAGGGTAGAACTGCTCCATAGGATTTGCAAGGCTGTGACCTCTAAAGCACCTTGCCAGACTTGTCTTCAGAGGTGCCACTGGGTGGGTTCAATCCACCCACATTTTGGCACTAGTAGTTGACCCCTTAAACTTTTGCTGTACCCGGGGACTCCTGAAAATACAAATAAAGGTTCACAATCCCTTATCTGCAACTCTGAAATATTCACAAAATTCTGAAAAGTAAAATGTTTTATATAGTTCAATTGGTAGCAGGATTGGACCTAAATAAACCTGGGTTTTTGTTTTGTTTTTTTCCTAGTCTCCATCTAATCCACTTGGTGTTGATACTCTCATCTTTACAGATGAAATGTGAATGTGTTTGTGCACAACAGTGTCATATAATATATGGTATATAGTCTTCCCTTGTTCAAAATCTAAAAATGCCTGACTTATGAGACAAGATTTGGATGAGAGGTGATGAACCTGTCCGAGAATAATATAGATGCTCAGATAACACTGGAAATAAAAATATTTATCTGGTAAATAAGGCCATGACTTACAGGGCATGAAATTTGGGAGGAGAGTCAGATAAATACCAACTGACCTTCATTTTATGGGAAAACAAGCACAGAGAGATTAACTTATTCAAGGAACCCAGCTACTATTGGAACCTAAGCTGTCTGGTTTCAGAGGTCATGCTTTTAAACAACAAAGGTTTTGTTTCTGATGACTTTTACCTGAAATTCTTCTCAGTGGAATCTGAAAGACACCAGTCACAGCAGAACAAAATCATGAATCACTGAATGGAAACTCAAGGATTTGGGGGAATTTCATAATCTTCCCAGTACAATTCTAGGTCCCAGGACAGTGGTAGATGGCTCAGGGTCTCCAAGTATGAAATTGGAGCATCCTTTCCTGGAGAGAAATTAAAGGTCCCAAAGAAAGATCTATGGGAGCTGACCTCAGGGGATCCTCTACTGGGGAATTAACCTGTGAAATTCTAACTCCACACACTGAACTTCCAGACAGCTTTTTAGTGCCTCTTTTCTTAATGGAGGGGCTTCAAAGATGACTAAATATTTGAGGAAAACTTCAAACATGAGAGAGATCCAAATAAACAGTAAAGAGAAACCTAGAAGGGGCAGAGGAAGCACAGACAGTAGAGAAAGTTTCAAAAGAAAAAAAAATATATATCATTGGTAGCATCAGAAATTAGAGAAGAGACTGCATCGAAGAGAGTAAAGTCCAAAACCAAACTGAACCTACTGCCACTGAGTCAATTATGACTCATAGCTACCCTATAGGACAGAGTAGAACTCTTCCATAGGGTTTCCAAGGGTGTAAGTCTTCTCTACAGAAGCATACTGCCTTATCTTTGTCCCACAGAGCAACTGCGGGGCTTGAAATGACGTTTTAGTTAGCAACCCAATGCTTTAACCACAGCATCATTAGAGTTCCTTAGAGAGTAAAACAGAACTTATAGAGTATGGAGTTGCTCTTTGTGGTGATGCAAACATTTTAGAGTTGACTAGTTATGGTTTCATGTATCTGGGAGTATAAGAAAAATCACTGAATTGTACAATTTATTTGTATGGTACGTGAACTATCTCTCAGTAAGTTGTTCAAAAATTAAAAAAGACATTTGAGGATGTGCTTCAGCATACAGGATATTTCACTAATAAACAGCAATAACGAAGTCTAGAAGTAGAGATCTGATGACCCCCAAACAGATCTAGAGAAAAAGTTCCAAATTCTAGAGGAATCATCAGAGTTGGCAAGCTGTGGAGAGGATGAGAGAAACAACAGAATTGATAAAGTGTTTGTTTTTAATTGTATTTGAGTTTTAGAAAATTTATGATCATTCTGTGAAGAATTCCTCAGAATTATTTTTCTGAGGGGAAGGATAGCAAAAGGCTTATGGCAAAATGAAAACACATGGAAATAAATTTATTCCTTAAAAAGAAAAATTATACTGTGGGTCATTGCTTT